TAAAACGCTTGGCGAAAGAATTTCGGGGTGCAGAAATCCCCAGATAAGGAATTCTGAGTAACAAATTCTCAGCCGACCCTTTTGGATGTGAAAAATTACAGAACCAGTGAATAGTTTTTCAACACAATAAACGAATTTAGTACCGAAAAAATTAAACAATTATTTAACAATTAAGTTCATTAAAATGTTAATATCATATATATTGTTTCTTCAGCAGAAATTAAGTATACACACTCGTTATCTAGATTGAGTTTCAATTACAATTGATTCACCTTACCACCACTCAGAAAATATGAATTCGATTAACTGTAATATAAAGAGGGGTAAAAATTAAGTTACCTCAAATAAAATTTAAAAAATTAACATACCAAAAGTGAAGCAATAAAACTTTAAAATAATTAAAGTTAATAGTTAAACAGCCTTAAGGGTCAAAACAAGAAGTACAAAAACCGAAAACATACGATACCTTTGTTAGACAGCAGTGTCCTCGTCCTACGTTACCTGTACTGGGGAAATTGATTTATTAGTACTTTTTGTTTGCCTTTTAAAGAACGTACTTACACTCATTTTTTTGAAACGACAGAAAACTATTTTTGCAGTTATATAACCACACATAAAAGCAGAACACAGGGCTTTCGAAATTGCTGACCCAATTTTAAATGTCTTAAATATTTTTATAATAAAAAATTATGAATCCAAGTGATAAAGACTTTTGTATGTGAAATGTGATTACATACGTTACAGTGAATTTATTCATGTTCTGTTTGGAAGCTTTTTGAGCGATATTCTTTTATCAGCTTCGAATGATAATCGAACTCTTGTTATGCTGAGCTTAAAATATTTTTGTAAAATCTTCGGAAAAGTAAGAATACTAGTTTAGAGATTATGTAGGCTTGTGCAAATAATGGCATGAATACAATATCTTTAACTTCTTTCAAAGAAAATAGTCACTTCGCATAAGATTCAGCTATGTCATCTTATCCTCTACAATAGGTCAAAGAAGTACTTCATTAAAATATATGATATGTACTCACATTTTGACGTGGATTTTATACTAACATATTCGGAAACACATAGAATAGTTTAGTTTCCCATTTGCAGTTGATGTACATTAAATTATTCCACTGTTGATAAGTAAGGAATCAACTGTAATCGGAAATCAGCGACTTTGAGTAACATAATGTTTTCAAAATAAAATTACAAATATTATGAAAACAAATCGTTTTATGATAGTAATAGAAAATCTTGTGTCCTAACTCATTTTGTTTTTTAATTTTTGTTTGGGTACAATATAGGAGATGACTTTTTGTGACAAAAGCATCTAATGTTGTTTGCCTTTTTCTTTTGCGTTGTTCTCTTAAAAGTTCTTCATAAACGGATAGAGCATCTCTAACACCACGCCTTACTTTTGAGCTCCTGTCAAAATTCGGATCATTTTCAATGAATTGATCCATTATTTCAGTTATGGTAGACAAATTCCTTTTTACAAACGCCATCGAAAGTTCTTTTTGCTCTTCTTCTGAATCACTGCTGTCAACATTTTGTTTTCTTCTTGTTCAGTTAATTCCTTGAGCTCATCATTAGAAAGACTAGCCGCTGCTTCTTGAATTGAATGTTTCCAATAATAAAAATATGTCTGTACACCAAACAAGAAATACAAGTACACTTTTTCGGATATGTATTTGAAACCTATCGCTGCATAATATTTCGGGGAATCCCCGTATGCTGCGAGCGATTTCGTGGAATCCCCGGGTTGAAATAAAAGAGCGCTAAACCGAAACAGCGCTAAACGAAACAGCGTTAAGCGGGGTCTTACTCTAACATGAGGTTCCGGTTTTTGCTGAGATTAATAATATTATTTTCCGGCTTATGTTTTCTGCAACTGCGGTTGGCTTAGTTCTCTTTCAAATTTATAAAACCTCTGCGATTTGCAAACAATACGTTCATACGTATAAAGTAATTATTGACCAAATATTTGCCAATTAAATTAGATTTCTGTGTCTAAATTGAAAGTTAAGAGGCTAAGTTAAATTCTTTCAATTTGCTAACCTATAAGTGAGCTCCTCTTTATCCATGCAGGCACATTAGGTATACTGTTGGGTAAAGCAGCCATCGAAAGCTATCTCATCAAGGCGACTCAATTTCTTAACAAAGAAATCGTTAAACTTTTATTTATCCACAAAATATCAGCGACCTTTTCCACACTAGCTTATCCCACCTAATACGTTGATACAGTTCGCCATGTATTACAAAGTATCTAGAGTTAATGACCCCCTTCTTTCGCTTTCTATGGCCATGAGTTAACTGCTCTTAAAATTGCAACCATGCATTATATCGTTTTACAGTAAATTAGCCCGTGTGCTTCTTACAGTTAACGATATCGAAAATCGGAGAATGGTAACAGCAGATCGACCATAAAAATTTAAAATACTGCAAATTAAAAACATATCTTATAAAATTACCTGCATTGAATATAGATTCGCAAAAGGGACCTATAATGAAAAGACTATATTTTGGAATTTTTATAATCCATATATATAGCGTTGAAATTGTTTTCCATTTCGATGATTCATTGTATTTACACCGTAGGATTATGTGTATGCCAATGCATTTTTATCACAGAAATACTTAAATACGCATTTTCTACAGATGGTATGACTTACTTAAAGTTAAATCAGTGTTAACATTGCGGAGGGAGAAAAAGTATCTTTCAGGAATTTCATGTTTCGATTAAGACTTAAGTTGAGTCTTGTGACTTAAAAGAAGCAATTTTCCTTTCACATAATGGGGCCATTTCGGTAAACGTTAAATCCAGTGAAAGTCTTTTTCCCGTACAAGAGTAATCGGCAGGAAATAGTGTCGTTTTATTAATACCTCCATGAAAAAAATAAATGCCATCTCAGCGTAAACAAGAAATAAAATCATTCTTTAAATGGTTGCATTGGAGGGCATAAAAATCCCAGTTTTTTTTTTTTTTTTTTTTTTTTTTTTTTTTTTTTTTTTTATTAAGATGACTTTGGAGAGAAAAGCCTTTTCACAAGAGGAAGAAATGAGAGAAACTATTGCAAGAAACATCTTTTAAAATTTTGTATAAAAATATTTTTCTTTAAAATGTTGCATTAAAATATATTTTCACTTTAAAGCTTTGTATAAACAGTTAACATAAATAAATGCTACTTTTTAATTAAAAATTATAATCTTGAAACTAAACCACTCTTTTGTTACACTCTCATGAAGTTTAGCAGCATGTTTAAACTTCAAAAATTATCGATTCATGTTCTGTAAAAGTAATAGGTTTGATAACCATAACAACGAGTGAAGTAATATGGTTTGAATTTTAAATATCAGGATATGTAATGCTATTTTATTTGAATACTAGTGCCTGTAACAAAATGCACGAAAGAAAAGATATAATTAGATTTTTTATTATATACTAGAAAGGGCGGCGGTCATTCGAAATAACCATTATTCTAGATATTATAAATTGTAATTAAAATGATTTGTGAAAAGTTGTCAGCTAATTCAAACTGAATTACCCAGGACAGGCGGGGAGGACGCCCCTTTGCTTACTGCCTTACCGGGTTTCCCCCTTCTACTTGTTTAATTGCTTAAAGTAGAGTGCAATGAAGGAAACCACTAGCGGTAAATTTCTTAGGAGCCACCGCTAGCTCAATAAATAAAGGTGATTTAAATAATAAAATGAATTCACATGTCAAAGATCTCTTTGTACACAGCATTTCTTGTGTAGATCTTTCCATCATTTTAAAGCTCGCCTTGCAGAGGACCATCAAGTATTTTTAATTTTACGTCCGTTCTTTCACGAACTCTTGAAACATAAAGTTGACCGTGTCCAAATGCAGGCTCAGGTAAAAAAATGCCAACACGCTTAAGCATTTGGCCCTGAGACTTAGCAAAAACTTAGCTGATGGTCATAGCAAAGGCAAGTTTTACAGGAAATTGTCTGCGTCTCAAATGAAGCGGCAACCTTGTGCCGTGGCAATTTCACCCCATTGGCTAGTACAGTTACGCATGCAACCAATAAACTATCGGCGACAAACAGACAATTAAGCCGCATATAATAAAGATACTATTTATTTCATTTTATTTGTTTTTTCATCGTTGCCGGTTTCTGCTGAATGCATATTTCCGAATTTTATTATATATAGATGTTAAATTTATTTACTAAATATTAAATGCATATGCTCTTGTATTTTTAATTTTCCCGGCTTTCTCATAATATTCGTCACGCTCTGTACTGCACAGGGAATAAAACAATTTATAGTTACGCAAGCAACCAATAAACTATCGGCGACAAACACTTAAGCCGCATATATATACGAAGTGTAAGATCTAACAAATATTATAATCATGAATAAAAAAATATCGTTTGTTATCAGTAGTTTTGAATTACATCTTTGTATGTGTGGGTATGTGTATGTAGGCATATATATATATATAAACTACTAGCCGCCCAGACGGTATAGTGGTTAGGGGAGCCTGACTGCGATACCAAAGGGCCCAGGTTCCAATGAATCCCGGATAAGGCATGGATGTAAAATTGTCTGTCCCTTCATATAGCCCAATGTCTGTCCCTTCATAGGAGGTAACGGTGACCGCCTATTGGGTGCCTCCATAATCAAATGGCCTTAGTAGTGGCCAATGCTGTTAAGGGCAAGAGCCCGCCATTCGGAAAAAAAAAAAAGAGAGAGAGATTATATATATACACACGGAGAAAACCACGAAAACCAACAATGCATTCATTCCGTCCGCCGCAAAAGAACCCAGATTAAACTATCACTATTTAGGACTTTGCTTGCCGAGAGGTCAAATGAAAGGTGAAATATTAAGTTCAAAACCTATAACTCAAACCCCGCATGTAAGCTGCATTAATTCAGAGGTAATAGTTATTAAAATACAAACATAATCTAAGCAGTTTCGAATATCATTTTCAGTTCGGGAATGTGAAGTAACGATTTGAGGCAAAAATAAATAATTTTAAATGCTAACAAATATTGTATAAAAATTAAACAAAAAAATATGTTAACATTTTAGAAATCACAAGACTGACAAAAGTAGCGCAAAAACAAATTCGAAGAATGCGAAATCACTTTAAACGCACGAACAAAAGCAAAAACAAAATGTCAAAATGGATTTTAAACGTCCCAGTCCATCTTCATCGTCCCAGTCAATTCATCAACCATTTAGAGTTCAGAAAATATAAAAGTATAGGCCTGCTTCTCAGATGAAAAGTGCTCAAATTAGCTATAAAATTAAACTGAAACCTTTATAGTTTTATAGTTATGATGTGAAAATATTTGTCCTTTTGTATCCATCTTCTGGACAATCGTCCTTGCATATGAATCTGATAACCTGCAAAAGAAAGAAAAATCATTTTTCAATTTAATCATCCATTAAAGATTCATTATTAAAAAAAAGCTGCCTTGTTTCAAAGAAATTAAAAAAGTATTAAACAAGAATTAAATTAATTTTTATAATATATTATACGGATTTGGTATTTAAATAGCTAATGTTAGTAGAATTATAAATTAAATTGTTTTATTCCCCGTGTAGTTCATAGGTGACGAATATTAAGAAAAAGCTAAGCCGGAAAATTAAAAATACAAGAGCACGTGTATTTAACATTTAGTAACTAAATAACTCTTTTTGATATCGACAAATTGCTAGAACAGTATCATGCGTGATTTAAAAAGCATTTATAAAAAGGAGGAAAACCTCCTTTCAATTCAGTAGTTGTTTTATGAGTTTTGTTTAGAAAATTGCTGTTGTTGACTGTAGCGAATTCGTGGATTAGCTTTCTATGGTTTGAATTCAGTTCTGTCGAACGTTTGAGTAGTTTAAAATATAACTACTGTGAGATATTGCAGTATTGTACTCATATTTGTGGAAAATTTAAGCATTTTGTTTTATTTGTTGTGATAATAATAAATTTTTATTCGCTTTTCATCGGATTTGGGCATTCAATTTAATACGAACCCGTACGCACGCAGCAATAGATTTACTATTGTAATAATATAATAAACGTGATCGCTTGTAGGGTTTATATTTATTTTAACTAACATTTATTTTAAGTTTAAACTATCTTTCCTGTCAAGCCTTACTTTCCCCTGGAACTGCCAATGCCAGAATATGTAAATTTGAGTAGAACGCGCAAGCATTCAAATTATCAGCGGAAGTATTATGATTTAAATAGAAGGAAACAAGTTCGGTGTGTGATATTCTTACTGCACGAGCGCGGAGGTAGTTAGCGAGAATTGAAGGACCCCGCGTTTCGGCCTATGTGCTTGGCGGGAAGTAGTGTTAATCGTTCCAGTGAGCTTCAAGTCTGCTGAATTAGCAGCGGTATTGTAAAACGCGGTGAGTTAGTTATTTTAGAGAGCCTCGTAGTTAGAATCTTCTCTTTAGTTTCTTTTCAGGTTATTATTTTTATTTGACTGCCGAGTTGGCACCGTCTGTAAGCGTCAAGAGGACGCAATTGTACTTTATTACGTTGAATAAAAAGGGACTTAAACCCTTTACAAGACTCTGTGTTTTATACAGCTTTCACAGTCACCTCTTGGTTGCGTGCAAGTGGGAGGCGCGCAACGTTATATTGGCGCCCGAACACTTATCGAACTGAAATGGCCGAAAACTGGATGGAAGCCGCTGGACAACACCAAGAAATGACAACTCAGTTAGAAGGATTTGGATACCTGGTCCAGACTTTGAGAGCATCAATCAAGCCAAACGTCTATTTCGACGGAAAAAATTCGGTGGCGGTATTTCTCGAAGGTCTAGAAAACCACATTCTGCTCTACCGTGTGCCTGAAAGACAAAAAGTTGCCATCGCCACGTCAGCACTAAGAGGACAGGCCGCGCTATGGTGGAAAAACATAGGCAAATTTTTATTAGGGGAATTTGGAAGCCCGACATATATATTTGAAAATTTCAAAAAATCGTTAGTAAAGGCCTTCCCCATAGTGAAAGACCACGCACGGCTGGAAGCCGAACTATATAGTTTCTATCAACGGGATACAGCACAATTGACGGACTTTATTTTACGAAAAATCAAGCTAACGGATATGCTGTATGGAAAGAAACCCGATGCGGAGATCATTGAAATAATATTACCAAGATTGTTACCCGCTGTTCAAGACTACTTTAGAAACCCAACCACATTGCAGGAACTTTTCGAATTGGCGGTGAAGTTTCAAAATCGCAGAATAGCGGAAAAAGCGAGAGGGGAGACATATTCTCAAAGTACCCGAAGGAAGGAGGAAACCAGAAATGGAAATCGCTCTTATGGGGGAAAGAACTATCAAGCTAACGCATCGAAACTCGAAGGTCAAGGCCCAAAAAGAAAATTTGAAAATAAACATCCGCGTACCCAGAAGACACAGATTGAAAGGAAAGCTTTAAAACGAGTAGAGGGGCCTGTGAAAGGGAGGAGTCCAGACCCCGGAAGTTTTAAAAAAACCCTCAAATAGACATTTAAAAACGGTCATCGTAAAAAAACTCACAGCTACCAATTATACAAGTCCTGGTTGGCGATGTACCAGTAGAAGCCCTCATCGATACAGGAGCAGAAGGAAATTTTATGAGTGAAAATTTCTTCAAAAATAATTTTTATAGGATATACGATTATTTAAAACCACAAATACGGAAATTATAGCGGCGCAAGGAAAAACATGTCACTGCATCGGGAAATTATCATTAAACTTACAGGTAAAAGAGGGAAAATCTCAAAGTATTAATTTTTGTGGTGAAAGACCTGCAACACTCTCTTATTTTAGGTATGGACTTTTTAAGGGCCGCGAGGGCCAAATTAAATTTTCAAGATAGTTCCGTGGTGTTGGAGATGGACCAGAGGGTGGTGGAACCGGTGGAGACACCTGAAGTGGACCTTAGCCATCTGAATGACCATGAAAGTAAAGCAATACAGCAAGTGGTGAGTAATTTTTCTCATTTGTTTTCAGAAAAACCAGGAAACTGCCAAATCGTGACTCACAAGATTCAATTAAATGCCGCCGAAAAACCTTGTAGGACTAAACCGTATCGTTATGATAAACAAAAAGACCTAATCATCGAAGAACATATTCAGGAGATGTTAAAGAATAAAATAATAACGCCCATAAATAGTGAGTACGCGAGTCCAGTCGTACTATGTAGGAAAAAGAACGAGTTTCCTCCTTCGGATAAAAGGGCTTGGAGTTTTGCTATTGATTACAGAAAACTAAATAGTATTACCAAATTTCCAGTTTACCCTTTGCCGGTTATAGACGAGATCATTAGACAGATCAAATCGACAAGATATATGTCTACTTTGGACTTAACGTCTGGCTACTATCAAATAGCTATGAGACCCGAAGATATACATAAAACCGCGTTTATAACAAAATCGGGCACTTATGCATTTTTACGCATGCCCTTTGGGGTTGTGTGGGGGCCCCCCCATCAACATTCCAGAGAGCTATGGACATTGTTCTAAAGCCTTTTCCTAGGAAAATCAACTTTAATTTATCTAGATGATATAATTATAACGAGTAGTACGTTGGAACAACACATTAATGACCTCGAACAAGTTTTTAAATTATTAAAAGAGGCCGGTCTTACAATTAACGCCTCAAAATGCAAGTTCGCAACTAAAGAACTTAAATATCTCGGTTATAAAATTTCGCAAAAGGGTATAGAAACGCAAGATTCAAAAATAAAAGCTATTAAGAATTTCCCACCGCCCAACACTGCCAAGAAACTTTCTTCTTTCCTTGGATTATGTTCTTACTATCGATCTTTCATAAAAGATTTCGCTAATATTGTTGAACCCCTCTTAGTAATCAAAAGAAAAAGGGCTAAATTTACATGGACAGCGGAAGCTAACACAGCTTTTGAAAGATTAAAAGAAGCGCTTATTAATGCCCCTGTTTTAAAATTCCCTGAGGGGAACGAAAACCTGGAAATTGCAGCAGATGCGTCAGACTATGCGGTGGGTGCGGTTCTTATGCAAAATAACCATCCGCTGGCATTTTTTAGTAAAACATTGAATCAGACACAAAGGAATTATACAGCTACAGAAAGAGAAACATTAGCCGTATTAATGGCTGTACACAAATTTCGAGTTTATTTCGGCAAATCGCCAGTAACAGTCTTTTCGGATCATGCGGCTGTTGGTAGACTTTACTCGGGAAAAAACCTAACGCCCAGGTTAATAAGATGGGCTTTAAAACTCCAAGAATATAATATCACAATAAAATATAAACCGGGTAAGGAAAACAATGTAGCTGACGCACTTTCTCGTATAAAACTGGACGATGAAGGAAATGAACTTAAATGCGCTGTGTTGACTTCAAAAATTTTAGATTCTAGAGATACGGTTATTACTGAACTGAAAGCTGATCCTGAATTTGGAAATATCTATGCTTATTTGAAAGACCCCGAAAGCTTTGAGCATACAGATATCGATGCGATAAGAAATAGAGCAAAAAACTATGAAATAATAGATAATTTATTATTCTATACGAAAACAACAAACGAAAATCTTGAGTATAAAGCCAGTCATCCCAGCCTCGCTTCGATTAAGCATTTTGAAGGAGTTGCACGAAAAAAAAAAACAGCGGGCCACCTCGGGGTCAGAAAGACTATAAAAAGGGTACGCGAGGCGGTATATTTCCCGCAATTATACAAAATAGTAACGGCGTATGTCAGGTCCTGCAATCAATGTCAGTTAATAAATGATATTAATTACAGCCCGGCCGGGTACTTAAATAGCATTCGCGCTACATTTCCGAATGAAATTTTAGGCATAGATCTCCTTGGTCCCTTCCCCAGAGCGAGTTAAATAAAAATCGTTTTCTTTTAGTAATAGTAGATCATTTTTCAAAATGGATAGAAATTGTTCCACTTAAACGCGCGTCAGCCAAAACAGTCGCAGATGCATTCTTACACAGATACATTTTAAAATACGGTGCACCGATAAAAAGTCATTAGCGATAACGGAAAACAATTCATTAGTCAAATATTTGAAAACATATGCAATGGACTTGGCATATACGCCATATCAAAATGGTTCCGTATAGACCACAGGCTAACATAGCAGAAAGAGTTAATAAAAACATTGTAAAAATAATTCGCAGTTACGTTAGCACACATCACAAGCGCTGGGATGGCTACATAAATGAATTAGCTTATGCTTTAAGAACGGCACATCATGATACTACGGGAAAAAACTCCAGCAGAATTATTTTTAGGCAGAAAGTTAATTACGCCTTTAGATAAATTATTCTTTGTGCAACAAAGAGAGCAGGAATTTAAAACAAAAGACGTGCAAAAGTTGATTGATCAGGCGCTTAAAACCTCGGATACGGCAAGAAATAGAC